CTTGGGTCCTTCACTAATGATATGAGCTTAATGCTTCTTTCTGTCCTTGAACCATCTTTATAATTCTTTTCAATCTTCTGTGCAGTCATTGTATTTAACTTGAAGCAAAGTTACAGGGTTCCCCTTGATAACTGCTTTTCTCCCTTTGGTGATTCTGTTGAGGTACAATCAGTCTTGTCACATCGTGCAATCCCTACCATGCAAGAAAAGTTACTAAAGATTGTTCGAGGAGATGGAGATCACAACCACCATATACTGCATTGCATTTCAAATGCATGATATCTCTATCCAAAAAACCTCTTCTTTACACCACCCTCCAGTTCCAAACTTTTCTTCCCAGTCTCCTTCGGCATGCTCCAGGTTCCTCCTCAGCGCCTTGTTTTTCTAGAGCTCTAAATTCTTTCTACTTTGTAAGGCAACTTGGCCCTACCTCAGTTTCTCCAATTTGCAGCTTCACACTTAAAACCACCACACTCCATAAACTAAAAACCACCCCCTGGGCCCATCTTTCTTAGAAGGTAACAAAATATTACAGGTAATAAATAGTATCTTGCCTTCATGCTACCTGTACAATGTGTGTTATTTCCCCGACAGACTATAAGCCCCCATCTTAAACACAAGAACGTTTGTTTAGCAGGCCAAGGACAATGCTTCATACTTTATATGGATCAGCCTCTAGGTCTCCTGTTTGCTATACATCCACTAAGACCTATCATATTGCAAGCATAGAGCAGGTATCAAAAACATGTTGGTAAATTGATTTCCACTGTACCCAATAATCTTTCAAAGCCCCCAGAGGAAAGGATTTAAACCAGTCAGATGAATTCTGGTTCACTGACAGAAATAAATCCACTGTGTATATTTTTAAGGATTTTAAATACATAAAAAAAATGTATCTTATATACATCTCTACTTGTCTTTCAATAGTGTAGGCTCCTAAACTTTTGAAATCATCACTAAATTACTTAAAATTAGATATCTATCAATAAGAAAAATGTTAAAACTTTTGTAAAAGAAGTGCTTTTTTGTAACACCATAACCTCACTAATGGAAGGAATGAAATTAAAATGATATATTCATATATATAACATTTCAAAAACAAAGATATCCAATGCTAGGAAGGATGTAATAAAGCAAGTATATCCATGTAGTGCTAATGGGGCTATAAATAAAAGCACTCCTTTGGAAAGCAATGTGGCAATATATACCAGAAGACCCCAAGATATCTTTATATTCACTATTAAAAACTGCTAAGAATTTATCTTTAGAAAATAAGATAAAATTTGTGAAAAGAACAACAACAACAAAAACCCCACAAATATCTGATTAAAACGGTCAGAGGACCTGAATAGGTATTTTTCCAAAGAACACATACAGATGGCCAACAGACACATGAAAAGATGCTCAGCATCACTAAATCATCAGGAAAAGGGACATTAAAACCACAATGTCACTTTATACCTGTCAGAATGACTAGTATAAAAAATACAATAAGTAACAAGTGTTGATGAGAATGTGGGGAAAAAAGGAAACCATGTGACTGCTGGTGGAAATGTAAATCAGTGCAGCCACTCTGGAAAACAATATGGAGATTCCTGAAAAAAAAAATAAAAATAGAAATACCATATAATCCAGTAATTCCACTGTTGGGTATTTATTCAACAAAAATGAAAACACTAGTTAAAAAAGATACATGCATCCCTATGTTTATTGCAGCATTATTTATAAAAACCAAGATACAAAAGCAATAGATGAATAAAGAAGATGTAGTATACATATATAATGGAATATTATTCAGTCATAAAAAAGAAAATCTTGCTGTTTGTGAAAGCATGAATGGATCTAGAGAATCTTATGCTAAGTGATAAGTCAGACAGAGAAAGACAAATCCCATATGATTTCATTTATATGTGGAATCTAAAAAACAAAACAAAACAAACAAACAAACAAGAAACAGACTCATAAAGACAGAGAACAAACTGGTGGTGATTGCCGGGGGGGGGGAGGTGGGGGGATGGGCAAAATAGGGGAAGGGGATTAAGAGGTACAAGCCTCCAGTTATAAATATGTCACAGGGATGAAAAGCACAGCATAGGGAATTAATCAATAATATTGTAATAAACTTGTATGGTGACAGATGGTAACTATAATTATCGTGGTGAGCACTGCATAATATATAGAAGTGTTGAATTACTATGTTGTATGCCTGAAACTAATATACCATTGTGTGTCGATTACACTTCAGTAAAAAAAAATAATGAACAAACATTTCTAATGCAGTGCTATTTCCAAACGGTAACACTTTAAAACAACCTAACTTTATAAGAGGAGTACGACTAAATAAATTTTGATGTACCTACTAAAACTAATGTCATATAACACACTAAAAGCCTGATAATAAAGGGTCTGTGATAATACAAAACTTTCTCATTAAAATGTTAACTGAAAAATCAGGATGCAAAATTATATACACAAAATGATTATAGTATAAATATAACATATTAAGTTATCCATAGAAGAAAAAAATGCATTGGTAACTTTACATCTAAAATTGTGAATAGGGGCACCTGTGTAGTTCAGTTGGTTCTGTCTGACTCTTGATTGCCGCTCAGGTCATGATCTCAGGGTTGTGGGATTGAGGCCCCCCACCCCCACCCCAGTCGGGCTCTGTGCTCAGCAGGGAGTCTGCTTGAGATACCCTCTCCCTTGCCCTCTTCCCTTCCCCCTGCTATGCTCTCTCTCTCTCAAATAAATAAGTCTTAAAAAAAAGAATTATGAATATTTTTCCACCAGTTTATATTTTTGACATTTTTATAGTAAGCTTAAATTATTTATAGTAAGAGAATAATAAAAACCTTTTAACAGAAGCCTTGGTGTGGGTGTATAAAATGGAAGCTTTCTCAATCCTCTCTGAAACAAAGTAACTGACTAATACAACATTCTGAACACTCAGAGTAAATAGATTCCTTTCAACTGGGCCACAGTAGTATTTCCCAAACCAGTTGATGTCTATTATAGTGGTAACTGGAATTATGTAAGGTAACAAAATATGATGCCATTGAATGAAGTATAAGAAAAATTGTTTCTGTAAGAAGAACCAATAAAGGTATGTCACTAAAAGAAGAGATGTCAAATTAGTTGTAGACAGGTGGTATCAGAAACACTGGGAAAACATGGGAAATTATGATTACTATTTACTTATATGAAAATCATAAAAATCCACAATGATTTTGCACTCAGACTACTACACAAATATCTTTAATTCTTTTCCTTTAAAAAGCAAGAAAGGAACAGTGGATACCATCTAAGATACATTTTTTTTTTTAAAGATTTTATTTATTTATTTTGACAGAGAGAGAGAGAGACAGTGAGAGAGGGAACACAAGCAGGGGGAGTAGGAGAGGGAGAAGCAGGCTTCCCGCCCAGCAGAGGCCCTGGGACCATGACCTGAGCCGAAGGCAGACACTTAACGACTGAGCCACCAAGGCGCCCCACTAAGATACATTATTATTACTACAGTTTGTGCCAGAAAGATGAATGGATTGCCAATTAAGACATTTAAGTTCAAGGCAAAGGTCGCTGTTTCTTATACAAAAAAAAAAAATTGATATTTGAATGTTTCTTTATATGACTCAGGCAAAAGTAAAATGACAAAACTATATACTTTAATCAGTTTTATGGATAAATGCACCAAAATACTCATTCTTGTTGGTCAGATAAGAAGGTCTTTACCGCATATGATATATATACATAAAAGTTACTTATAACCATATAAGTCATTACAATTTAAGAAATGATGTTATGTATATGCCTATAAGTGAGTATATATGTATATATGTATGTATGCATATGAAGATATGTATACATTTGCATATGTATATACGTGTACGTACACACACACACACACACATAGAATATATATAAATACCATGAAATTAACTACTCCATTGCTTGACTAAATCATGAGATCATGCAGTAGACCTTTCACAAGGTGGTAGTTTAGCAAACTCCAAGTGTGAAATTAAACTTAGTGACAATGACCATGGTGTATGTAGGCACTATATTCTGGTTGAAAGCATCTTGTTTAAGTTACTGTTCCTTTACCCTTATCAGCAATGGCCAGAGCCAAGGAACTTCTTGTTCAGACAGCCTAGGATTCACTTTCTGGTATAGTTCTGTACCTAAACCTAAAGCACTCAGTGCAAAGGCCCCATTTACACCCGACTTAGAAGTCTGCCTAGGAAGTCTGTGGATTATTAAGTTATTCGGGGGTTGCTCCAAGCTTTTAAAGCTCCTTCCTCTTCAGCATAAAGTAAGACTGACTAAATGAGTCCAGAAGTCCAAATGGCGAAGAAAATCACTCTTGTTTAAAAATATCTAAGTACATTTTGTTTTGGTGAATGGGCACATTTTCATTTTTCTCCTTTGCTGAAAAGATATAAAAATGGTAACATATATAAGAGAACATTATACTGTTAAGTATAATGGTGAGTGAGAAAATATTCCAATTCAAACATTGATATAATGAATAAACTGGGGTTCAAAACTTTGCTCCTTGCTTTCTAGCTCTGTGATCCTGGGCAAGTTGCCTAACATTTCTGAACTTTATATCCTCATCTTAAAGATGAGAAAATTACCACTATCTTCATGAGGTTGTTGTGAAACTAGTCAAAACCACTTACACGCCTGGCACATTTATTGAGTAGGAGACCAATAAATGTTATTTTCTCCTCCTGCTCAAGGGTTATTTAAGGATCTAAAGCAACAGTATACATCAGAGGGTCTGGCCCAGGTCTGACACACAATAAATGTCTTCTCTTTAAAAGAAAAAAAGAAGTGAAAATATTTATAGGTAACTTCTTATCCAATGTTGCTTGTATTATTTGTTAATTTCATTAATCACATGGAGAATATGCGCTATTATTTAATACATATTACACACACACACACACGCACACACGCACACACACACAGAGTTCCAAGTGAAATGTAAGGCTTACCTGCAGTTCCAGAGAGTTCCACACTTAAGGTTCGTTCAATAGTCTTGTTCTCAAATGGGGAACCCTTGGGGTCACTGGAAGATATGGCACATTTATAAAAACAAACTGAAATGGAGTTGCTGTAGCCAAATGTATTAGAACCCCCTTCCCTTTCTGAAAATGGTTACATTTCTTAATACTTACTTTGGTGACTCTGGGGTCAGAGGAAGAGATAAAGTTGTTGGTTTGGCTAAAGGAAAAAAAAGGAAACTAATTATGAAATACTGAGTTTTTGAAGGTTTTTTGTGGGTTTTTTTGTGTTTTTTTTTTTTTAGAATTTTTTTTCTTACTACAATCAGGTTGGAAACTGGAAACTGGAAAACTAAAATAAGGAAATCCCTGCATATTGGATCAAAGTCAGACAACAGTCCATTATGCTAAAACAAATTCCAAACAACATTTGCATTGGTAAACTATCATTCAAAAACACATACAAAACCAGAATTTTCCCCAAAATGTAGCATCTCTGTTAAGGATACAAAATTTGCATCATACCATCAGAGAGAAATAATGTGTTCTATTTTAATTTGGAATACAGTACACGGTTTGTTTAGACAAGAAAACAGCAGAATAACCATAAGACAACAGAACGTTATGAATATTCAGTTGATTTTTCTCCTAAAATGTATAATTTTATACCTAGCCCTGAGAATAGGTTATTTCTATGAGGCCAAAGCTCAAGCAATAACCATTCCATTTACTGAAAATAATTAATTGAGAGATTATGACAAATTGTGGACATTGACCCAGATGGTTTAAAAGGGGTTCAGATCCCCAAATCTTAGAGACAAAGTAAGATACTGCATTTATCAGTTGAGAGACCTATAGACTTGCAAAGAGAGCTCATTTACTTCCTTTTATGCTTCCTAAATCTTACCTCCTACAGGAGGCATTTCCCAATTAGGAAGGGTGGAGTAAGAATCTTCTCACTCCAAAATTTCAATTGCTTCTCCTTGGCAGTCTTGTATTTTGAACAGAAGGAGGGGAAAACATGATGAGAAACGTACTTGGGATATACATCCACATATTATGTATATATATATGCTTATCTATAAAGATATATGTATGTAGGTTTATGTCAATTTTTTCTCATTAACATAACTACTTTCAAAAGGTCAAGAGGTAGTCATTTACGTAATGAAAATCACAGACTTGAAACTAAAAAGTTTTTTAGAATAAACTCTCATTTTATGGATGAAAAACCTGAGACCTAAAGATGTGAAATACTTCCAGGGCCATAAAACTAGTTACTGGTGGAGTCAGCCCAGAATATGTTTCCTTTTTCCTATTACCAAAAGGAATTGTATTCAATAGATATTAAAGTAAATTAATCAACCCCAGTAATTAAGGTCCTTTGAAATGTGAAAATATTATTTATGTCCAAATTAGGCTGAAGTTACATACTTTACTTGGATAAATAGTATTTACATATTTAATTTGTCGATTTAGATTTAGTTTTTAAACAATTGAATGTTTTATCATCTATCCAATGTGCATCCAGAAATATGAAGTTCACGCTGTCTTCTACAAATTAGGTACATTGATTGATTGGCTTTTATATATACAGATAAATGAACTGGTTTTAGATTAATTTTTTTAGTATGTCTGATATAATGAGCCTTTCCAAAAGAACACACTCATGAAGGAAATTTACCAACATTTTCGGCGTTCAACTCATAATTAGGATCATGCATAGCAAGTATCACTAGATACGAACTGTGTACCATACACAGTAAATACACATTGAAAACTGGTCTCTGGGATTCCAGCTTTCAAGGTGTAGGGCAGGCTATCCAAAATGCTCAAAGTAAGATCCCTAACATTCTGACAGTTGGGTGTAGATGAATGCAAGGGCACTGGAAGGGCAGCATTGGGCAGCGGCCATGTTTAATGGGACTGATGGCAAACAGGAAGAGAAGGCTATAGGAAGTTTCAGCCCCAAAGCACATACAGTACAGAAGGCCATCCCTGAATATGCCCACACTCACGAGAGCTACCAAGAGAGGAGCACTGATTTGGTTTACGGGGAGTTTAATGCACACTATTCCAATGATGGACAGACCAGAGCCTCTAAGATCCTTGAGGGCAGGAATGCATTCTTTTCATGCAGATCATGGTCTTTTTGATGAATGAATACATTAGCAAATGAATGAATAAATGAATAGAGGGGACACCAACATGAGCCAAAGGTCAGGCCATTATCCTAAGGAAGTGAAAAGAACTTGACCCCACACTCTCACAGACAGCACACATGCAGTTCAGTGAAAGCACGTTATGATACATCAAGAAGGGATAAACCTCAGTGGATCCTGGGCTACTGTCTCTAATCGTTAATATAGATTCTACTTTTAAAGTTTGAATCATAATTTAAATAAATCCTGAAGCTGAGCATTTATTTCCTGTTGGTTATTCACAGCCAGCCATGTTTATTTTGTTCTTGGCCTTTAATAACGATAGGAATTTTGTGGGGTTTTTGTTTGTTTGGTTTTGTTTTCTTGTGTTTTTGTCAACAGGCTTTGTTCGGGGATAAACTTTTTATGCTTTGCCACAGGCATATATCTTTCTAAAAAAAATCCACATACAGCAGGTCTCATCTAAAGAATATGTCCTCCACAGGCCAATTTAACTCCTCACTGCCGTGGTTTGTAAGACTTTTCAGTAATATTAGTGGTAAGTGGATCTAAAAAACAAAACCAAAAACCTCCCAAACTCTCAAAATCCAAAAGGGCCAAATACAATTTTAAGAATATGTAAATTTAAAAAATGTTTAAAACATGTGCTGCTGGTCTGGGTTCACTGACTACAGGGTTATAGCTGGCTGAGGGCTTCAGATTCAGCTCCAGAAAATAAACGCCCGACTGGGACACACTAGGACAAGGTGGACAGTAGCCCAGTGAATTTTTCAGTCCACTCACTAGACTGAGCTCAGCTGCCTGCCCTTCACCCGAGGCTCTCCACCCCACTGCATCCCATAGCACTGCGGGTTCTGCTCTAAGAAAAACTGGTCCAGCGCACAGTGCGTGAGGGGCCAATCAGGGCAAGGCGAGCTACAGAAAAAATGTGGTTCATTTCAATAAATATCTTTTCCCTGAACTGACGACAGAAAAGGATGGCCGAGGGATTCTGAGACATCCACTGGGGAAAACCTAATTGAGAGCCAATTTAAAACTTTAGAAGAAGGTTCCTGAAGGTTTATGGTGGGGTAGGGATGAGAGAGGGAAACCAAAAACACTGGAAAGAAAATACTAATTAAAACCAGGAGCAACAGCATACCTGTATGAAATAATCATGGTTCAAAACAGGGATCAGGGACTACCACTCTGCAGCTGGAAGGGGCAGTCAGGGAAACAAAAGGGAAGAAAGAAGTGGGTGTTTGTAATTGCTATGTTAGAATATGCCTGCTTCTGGGGCGCCCAGGTGGCGCAGTCGCTTAAGTATCTGATCCTGGTTTCAGTTGGGGTCCTGATCTCCAGGTTGTGAGATCAAGCCCCAGGTTGGGCTCCACACTCATCGCACAGTCTGCTTAAGACTCTCTCTCCCTCTCCCTCCCCCTCCCTGCACTCCCTCTCTTACTGCCTCTAAAATAAATAAATAAATCTTAAAAAAAAAAAAAAAAGACTATGCCTGCCTCCACCACGAGGTTAAAGGTAGGGTTAACGTGGAAGCTGAGATATTTTAAAGCGACCGCAACTTTCAACAAGCTTCCTTTGGGCCTCTAAGGACGATTTTAAGGGAAGAGCCAAAAAGAAAGAAAATTATATCTCTGCCAAGACAGGTTTTCCCCAAATCACCCTGATCTGCCTCAGAAGCATCAGCCTTCTAGAATGTATGGGGACAATAAACATCAACCCAGATGCCTCGTTTGATCTGGGCAATATTTTTTAATAGAAAGCAAATACAAATAAATTCCAGGGATTTCCAAATCCTTATTTACAAAATAAAATCTAGGAGTATAACACGTGGTCTCTAAAAAAAAAAAAAAAGACTGCACTTAATCAGGAGAGGCCACACAAATACCATGTGCTCTTTTTAAAGGTGTATACAACAAATCAACAATGCCTCATTTTCTTTCCATTATTAGAAAAGAAAAAAGAACAGCTTTTTACTATTGGCTAGCCCAGCTTGCTCTGAATTTCAATTATCTCAGGAATTCAGATTTCACATAAACCTTTCACCACCCCCTTCCCACCCAGCTCACATTTCAGGTGCTTTTTGGTGATTGTGAATTAGGCTGCATATCAGCCGAATAGGACATGTTCAGCCTGTGTCCAAGGACGGGTTTGTTTTTTGTTTTTTGTTTTATAAGTCTCTGATAAAGTGCTGAATTCCCTTTTCAGAGAGACAGCAGTGGGGCAAAAGCCTGAAGTTTGGGCATTCCCAGCCAGGTGCATGCTTGCTTTGCCTTGTGTTTTAGTCCCCAGCCTACCTTGTAAATGTTGAGACTGCGATTGTGTGTGGGACTTCTTTTTGGAGGTGCATTTGTCTCTGCTACTGTTCCTATTCTCTGTGGGTTTGGTGTGAGGAGGATCATCATTTGTGGTCAGATACTTGAGAAGCTCCGAGCACGGACGTCTTTGTGGCTTTTGCTGTTGACAAATGCTCTTCGCTTTATTGCTCCATGAATTCTCGGTCTTAAAAACAAGGCATAAAGAAAGCTAAAATTAGTGAACTGAACCTTATCAGAATGGATATAGGTTTTCTGAAGAGATGAGATTTTCAATGAAGTGTTCAGTCTAAGTGTACTAGATCTATGAGCTGTGAATAATTGTTTGCAGAACAAGGAAAGAAAATTACATTTAAAATTCCTAAATGACATTTATGCAGCTTTTTATTTCATTTCTCTACATTTCAATGTTCCTACTCAGCAACATGTAACTAACAAGACCCTATAGCGCCTTTACTGTGAATAAAAAAAAAATAAGCTGGTTTAAACCTTAATTTGCCACTGATTGCTGGAGCCCCGTATTCACAATTCTCTTAAGTACCCCTTAACGCTCCGTTTTCACTCACAGTGAATGGCAAGACAAACATTGTTTAATACAGCCCGCTAACCGAATTATGTCATTGCCAGCATTCTATCCAATTAATGGCAGAGATAGATCTTTTGCGGTGATTCCAGAGCAATCTTTCTCAGGTTAGACAGCTGGAGAAACAGCAATCCTGCATCTTAAAGTCACTCATAGATAATACCAGCCTAGCAGCAAATTTTATTGTAACCCACATTGCTGCATGTATTAATAAAGTGGGCAAGGAGTGACAGACGGTGGGACTTCCATTCCAATCATCCAAAGACAAAGAATAAATGAACTCTTTCTAGTTTAAAGTAGCTGGAGCGCTGCTTTTGGAAACCCATTTCATATTGTTTCACATTATAAAGCAACCGCAGGATCCCAGCTGAATACATAGAAATAAACCTATCCTTTGTTTTACTGCTTCAGGCAAAATCCTTTGTTACTTGCCCTCCTATATTAAAAAGTTCGCATTGTACCTTAACAACTGCAGGGTTTGTTCTGATCCTGTGATTATGGTTTGCATGGTTCTGGGTACTGAGACCACTGCATTCATTATAACTTAGCTGAGTGTTGGCTGGTGCCAGTAAGAGCTTCTTAAGCTAGAAATATATGAGAGGGGAAAAGCGAGAAAAGTTATGCATCCTGTAGGCATTAGAATAAGTTACTGAAATTTTAAACTTAATATTAATTAATTATAAAAATTAATTCTCTCACTCTTTAATTAGAGTCACACCAAGGCACAATAGCGCTAAAGGAAATGCATTTTTAAAAAGTAAGAAAAAATTTGGCATTACACTACCAACTGTGAAAGTATTCTTTTCCCTACATTTGAGACTTAGTATTGTCTACCTTGATTTTTTTTTTCTGGATAAAATAAGGCAAAAAGGATCCTCCTAAAAGGATTTCCAAATACCTACTAGCTGAGAAAAGTTGCCCTGCTAAATGAGGAATTGGGGGTTGGGGACAGAATATAGGACATTTTTGCCTCAATAACCCAAATGAATCAAGTGAAAATAAATAAAAGATTCTGTAATGCTTTGAATGATATTTTACAATCCAGTTTCACTTTACTGATTCAAAGCGTATTTATGATAAAAGAGTGGCTATCACTGAAAAAGACTTGTAAGTAAATAGAGTCAGGAGATGTGATTCTGGCTCAGGCAAAGCATTTACTGTTTCTTGACCTCTGTGTCTTCATTTGACTTGCTGGCCTTCTAGGACCTCCCTGCTCGGACAGGCAGTATGATGTTGAGTCAACAACCCCTCCCAGTTGAACCAATTATGTGGATGAAAATCCTCTGGTATCAATGTAAAGACATCAAAGTACCAGAGAGCAAAGCCAACGGCAAATGGAAAAATGGTGGGGGTAGGGGGAGGGTAGCAATTACTTATGACGTAGTTTCTTCTAAACCAGAAATCTCAAAATGAACAGGAGTACAAGCAGAGTCTCCATATGTTTACATGGAATGCTTTTACCATTTAAAAAACTTAGAGAAGGGAGAGAAACAACCTCTAAATGGCAAGCCAAGGAATATTATTAAAGTTTGGAGGATAACATTCCAAAATTTACATAGTTTGGTCTTACATCAGATTTATGGCAAATGACAAATGGCTACCATAGATGAGAAGGTAAACTGTGTCTTAGAACTAATAAAATTCTGGTCAAGCACTGCATCAGAAAGAAAATTTACTCTTCATTGCCAACAAATTCACTCTTCATTGCCTCCCATAAATTTAGGGAACTTAGGTTGCAAATGTGCTATTATTTTTCAATCTTCATAAGAATTATGGATCCAAAACCTTAAAATATTGCATATCCCTTGATGGGCCTTTTATTTCTAGAATCGTAGGCATAAGAATAAAACTATAAATGTGTTGATTATTATATGACTTATGATGGTGAAAAATAGGAAAAAGACTAAATATCCAGCCACAAGAGATCTCTTAATGAACCAGGACATCTCCAAACAATAAAATAATATGTAACATGAACCATTATACATATATTTCAAATTCACAAACATGATGATGTATCTTAAAACAAGAGGAGATTTCAATCTTTTTTTCCATCAGAGATTATTTGATTTTACAGGTGAATTTTTGGTCTATTCTTTTTGGGTCGTCTATGTTTTCTAAGCTTCTACCATGAACATAAATAATGCTAAGAAATAAAAATACACAAACACAGCAAAAGTTAAAGCAAACTGTAGTAAGACCACATGAAGACTGTTATTACCAACATTTTTAAACACAGAATCACAGAATTTGCAACTCTGAGTCTGCTCGGGACTTTTTTTTGGCATCAGTCTAAATTAAAAATCCAGACCTTATTGTTACTACATCATACCCATGCAGCGGGTAGCCAGAGGCAACTCCAATTCCTGTTAAACAGTAGGAAGGGTTCTTACTAGAGACGGCTCTTCTGCCTCCTGAGGCGGTGGGGTGCCGTCAGGCATGGAGGAAGGACTAGCCTCATTCTCAGTGGTCACATCTCCATCTGTCAGCGCATCAAATGAGGGCAATCCGTCTTCATCCACAGGGAGACTGTCCAGTGTTTCTGTGAGGACTGCTAGCAAGTTTGCCTCGTTCTCTTCATCTATCTTCTGCAAAAACAGAAAAATAGACGACGTGAGTGAGTTGACATTGGGGGACAGGTAACACCATCAATCAGCGTAGAGGGGTCATGTTTATCCAAATGAGTCAACTGTACATGAAATTTTGAATGCTCACACCGGAACACAAAAGATCATGTCTTCTTCAAACTCCAAATTCACTTTTGGTCTGAATCACACAATGAACTGATACCTCTCAGTACCAGTCTCTGATGGTTGAGCTGTCCAAGCTGGCAATTTATGATGTCAGTGCATATTATGGCCGTATATGACGCTGTCTTGTTTGCAGTCGCTTTCCCCGTGGGTATGTCTTCTTTCCCTAACTAAAGGAGAAGGTCTAGAGAATCTCAGAACTTGAGAGAATTTTAACCATCATCTATTTCATCTTCAGATATAGTGTTTCAATCTCCTGTGCAGCCGAGATGTTTAGATAACCCTCTGTTTGAACAGCACCAGAAACTGAAACTATATGGAGACAAACCATACACTTTCATGGTTTCAGTTATAATCTCATCACCGAACACTCCACAGCCATTTATTTCCCTCCCTGTCATCTCTCCCAACTTTAGTCATAAATCTAGAACTGCCCACTGGACATTTCTACCTGATAATAGCTCCCTCATCCTCCAAAACCCAAACTTAGGATCTTTCACAACAAAACTGCTATTTCCATTGACTTCCTGAGTTTGGGTAACAATTCTTCAGACCCAACCTCTAGAACTACCTTGAGTCCTCTATATCTGGTCCGTCATTAAGTAGAGTCTTACTTTGTCATGTCTCTTCAATGCAGTCGTTTCTTGTGGCCGGGGTACGATTCTAGTGCTACATTACTCGGAATGGGGGCTCCTGCGAACATACTCTAACTTGTTTCCGCAACTCCCACAATCACTCGCATCCATACACCCTTGGAAAGTTAATCTTCAGGTATTCATTCCATAAACATATCTGCATACCTACTATACCGGAGCCATGTTTCGTGTTAGAGATAGAAAGAAAAAGATGGACCCCTGCCCTCTAAAAGCCCTCCAGTGGAAGGAAAGAACCTGTGAATAATTTATTATAAAAGGTAACATTTATTTCAGTACTCTGTACCCGCTTATATACCTGGTTTATAGGGAAATGTGCTATATTCCCATCACCTGGACAACTAGTGCCGATGCGAGGCACACAGTGTGGTCATTGATTACTTGCTGAATAATTCATCGATATGCATTTACTGCCTAGAATATATGTTGTGCAGATCACTTTCTCTTCCTTCTATTAGCACTTCACATTGTTTGTCCAATTTGACCTGCTTCATAAATCTTTTTTTTTAAAGTTCTGTATGCTATGACATTAACAATATCGGCTAAATTATCCCACACAGATTCTATTACAAAATGCACCTAAGCTGCTGACATCTAATGAAGCCAGCAGTGCCCACACGTCCTTTCTCTCTAGCACTGAACTCCAGTTAATTGACCTGACAAAATTACAAGAATCACAGAATAAGACAGCTAATCAGAAAATCAAATTGTATTACTAGAGAAATTAGGCAGGCCTTTATCACGTATACATTCTATTTTTCACACAGAAATTGTTTTCCCTGGTGAGTCCCCATCCAGGAGTAAAATTGCAGACTTCTTTCTCTTTTGGATTCAAGAGGCCAGAAAGAGCCATTTGTACTCATGGTAGACTCTCCTAGCCTTTCTTACCTTTGCATAATGTGTCTCCCAAATGCCCCTGGACTTCACATTGTGAATCAAGTGGTTTTGGGCACACGGGATGGAATGACAACTTTCTGAATTTGAGGACTCCGCTGCAGGAGGTAAATCCTAATGGGGGGTGAGTGAAATGTTAACTTCAAAATGGCACCATTCTTCCAGAAACTGACTGATTCTTTAAAAATCAAACTGCTTGATTTAATAAGAGATCATTATTGAGCATACCGCCCAGCTTCAATTCTCCTGGATCTGCCCATGTAATCTGAATAATAAAGATATTGAAATGATTTTCACTTCTTTTCTGCCCAGGATCATAATCTAGCGTCCAAAGATTCCAATCTCTGAGCTTTCAATTCAGATTCCCCCCAACATACAAAAAACCAAATTCAGGTTATTCATCTGTCCTAAATAGAAATTATATTTAAATTAAATACATATTATTTTAAATCATCCAAAATCATGAGATTTACTTTAATATAAATATATCCATAGTAGCTAATAAAAATATCTTTGATGATATCTCAAGCACACACGCACACACACACATGCACACACGGTTTCAGTAAATTGGACTTTTTGTCCAGGTATCCCAGTTTTCAGAAAGGCTTATTTCACTGAAGTTCAAAAATAGCTCAAGAAAAACAGTTAAGAATGTTTACCAATAAATGAGTAGTTTTGTTTACTCCGATTTAAATTTTGTATTTGGCTTTCCAGCAACACTACAAGCCTCTATTTGCTTTCAATCACATAATACAATAGCGCCTTAGTTCTATCCCTAGTGTAAACAAACTACAATAATTCCAATCAAGTCAGAATGACAACGAACACTTAACTAGTTTTCTCCAATTTCTTTAATAAGCCCGGGTGAATGTACATCAAAAACAATGGCAGAAATATTGGAGCCTGATAATGTCATAATTAATTTACAAGATCTGATTAAACCACAGCTATTTAAATTCTCTCTACTGGAACCACAATGGGAGGGAGGGTTGTGGGATGGAAGATTGGCAGATAGTGTGTGTGTGTGTGTGTGTGTGAGATGGGGTATGTGGGTAGGGTAGGCTGCTATTCAACCAGGACAGACCAGTAGGGCTGTAATCCTTATTTAGAGCCCATGTTCATCAGAAATGTGGCTGACTCAGTGAGGGGCTTGGAGACCGTTTATTTTAGTAAAGTTGTTCTTGAATTATGGAAGGAAAGAATGTTATTTCAAATTCTGTATTTTGTCTAATTGTAGAAGACTGGTGAAAAAGTTAAGATATTTCCCAATGACATTTTTGTTCTGAAGCTCAACAGATCGTCCTGTACGTAAAGTTGAGTGGACATTGCTCCTCACTGTGGCAATTCCAATTAGTTTAGCATGAGTCTCAACAATCAAACACTCCAGAGAAGGCAATGGATGTGACAAAAAGGACTTGGGTAAACAATTAATGTCACTTCCCATTATTGCTTTGGTCCCAATTTACAGAGCAAATAAATCAAAGTCACAGCAGATGAAGCACTCTGGCCTACCAACACATGTCTGTTCACAGGTGACGGGCCATGGAAATACATCAGGCAGTAAAACGACTTTGCAAAATAACCTTTCAAAGACTCTGCTCTGACACCGCTTTCTAATCGTTCAAAATTACTGTTTTTACAAAAATATACTTATTAGCTCCATATAAGTTAAGAAAAGAAGAGCAGAGAGGTGAAAAAGAGAAAGCAGGTCACCAATTAGGTAGTGATCTAAAGCTACACAGCTGAGCTCAGTGTTGCCAGTGGCAGCAGAGAGGGAAAGAAAGGTAGGGAAGAGGCCAACAGGCATTTCCACAGGGGACCTCTGCGACTCTCAACCTGCTCTAGCCATGCTGGGCGTCAACCCTGGGCTCTCCTTACGCAAGGCAAGTCTGCTGCTCTCCTCCCCACCGAAATAAAAGTTTCTTGTGACAGTCACGCTCATTCTCAGAGGGCGCTCCTGGAGTAAAGAAGCCCATTCCACAGATACTCACGTTGTAAAGAATTTCCACTGACAGGTGATACACGTACATGTATACTAACAACCCAAAATTCAGAACGGGCAGTAATTCTGAAGCAATGCTCTGTCATTAACAAACGATAGTTAAGAACACTTGGTTCATTACTGCTCGTTGGGACTGCTGGGTCCCTATCTGACCTGCCCTAAGTGTGATATAATTCAAAGGGCACAGTTAAAGGAAGGCAGATTCTGCATCTTCGGGTGCTCAGAGTCACCTCAAATTTGAAATTTGGGGTCCAGGACATAATATCTGGGCCTTCTTCCCTTGTGAGCAGTTGGCAAAAGGATCTTCCAACTGATTACACATGGTGGGGCCAACAGTGCATTGAGCTCACCCAAGTGCATCGAGAGGGAATAAATCTACTAAATTAAGGAGGAAATGAGGGACTCCGGGATGTTACTGGACACCTGACGGGAGAACTGCAAAGTGAAACCGGCATGTGGTATCCCAAAGATTTTTAAATGCAGGCTATTATGGAAGGACCATGCCCTGCTTATGATAGTAATTTTTTCCACATCTCGTAGAATTGCAATTACACTCTGCGCCCCCAGATTCTCACACTCGCTTGATCTCTGTTTGATAAAAATAGTTTAATAGCCATTTAATCACAGCTTCATTATCTTAGCTCTCTTAATGCGAATTAGGCCAGGAGAATTCCTGCTTCCTCATTATTCAAATCATCAATAAGAAGGAAACAGTGGGGTCTTCTTATCATTCATTAATCAGTTTCAGTATCTTAGGTACTGTTTACTCAGAGATCAGTCTATGTGAGAGGTCACTTAACCTCTGTGAGCCTCTATTTTTTTCTATATAAAAATTGAGGTTATTATCTGCCTAATTCCTAGGACAGAATTTTTCTGCACTCATGGTTAATAGGCAGGAAAAAAAAGAATGGACGAAAGCCTGAGAATCCTTCAAGAAGAGGCTCAATAAACATTTCCAGTGTAATGCCCATTGTCTTGATTGCCCATATTTGAAAGCATGATCTACCGCCGACTTTTAGCAATGGGCCAGCTTCCTCCCAAATACCCAGCATGCCACGGGCTTCCTCCTTGCCCCATCTTGCTGATTTGGAAGCAGCTAATGAAGACAAAATTAACTCCTACTTTAAGTGAGGCCTAATTAGGAAGGGAAATCTGCTAGAGTAACATCTGGTAATGCATTCTGAAGCCAAATATAAATGACATTTTTGGATTATCCACTATTTTGGATTATTTCTCCCACTAGACCCCAACCAGGAGGTGAAATAAATAAATGAGAAAGTGACTTT